AAACAAGACTTTTGAAGAAAATAATGATCTTGGCTGCAACAAATACTGACATCATCGCTCATCGCACATCGCACATATGAAGCATGATTTACGTTATTTGCAATGTACTACAAAGATTGCGATGCAGTATTAAATACATACAGATATTGTAAATAAGTTATATGGTATAGTAGGTATATTTATATATCTTACATGATACTGGAATATTGTATTCAATATGTTGGTGTCCCTGGTGAAATTGTGGACATTCTGTCCCCAAATGTTCGCTGGCGACAACACCAAGCAATTATACTCCGGAAATATTTGCTCATTCTGCACACGCTTAACATTGTCGACATGTAAGCAAATTTTGTCAAGTGTACGTTTGCTGTAATTGAAATAAATTAAATGTTCATTAAAGATTATAAAAATACTTAAAAGAGTAATAACGAGATTACAATAAACGTACAAGTGGGCACATACTAATATAATGGGCTTAGGCTTAATAGATTATTTAAAATGTTGTAAGGAATACAATAACTTTTTTAAAAGACTTACTTTTCTTCGCTTTCGTGATTTCGTACAATTTCAAGCAAACGAAAAACCTCGTAGAGTGGCGCACGAAACGCATCCATCAAATGCATATCTTCGGTCCACGGTAATACACTGGAACGTAGAGTTATCTGTTGGACGTATAGCATTGGCGAACTTTGCGTCCACGGCAAGGGTGGATCATAGCTAACATTGTTCACATTGAAAATATTTTTGACTACTGAAAAGTTTTTGTCACCTTCTCCAAAGAGCGAATATTTACCTTCAAAAGGTAATACGATTTTCGTTGGTATTGTGCCCGGTAATGGTATATTTATGAGGGGATAACTGAAATAGTGAAAAGTATATATTAAATGATATATGTTTTATATTTATATATATATAGAAAAAAAAAACAAATTTAATTTGTTTCAAGTTATTTTTGGGTTGATTAAATTGGTTCAAGATTTGACTGATTGTGGTGCATTTTTATTAAATATTGTTGGATGAACCAGTAAAAAAAAGGGGGTATTTTTTCAATAAAAAAATTTAATATTAAATTCAGTGAACACTTGAAGCGACCGTACAGCTGTTTTAAATGAACAATGTAGTTTAATCAGTAACAGCAGTATTATAAGTTCAAGTCCCTTTTTTCCCTTAACCATTCTTTATTCAAAAATGGTAAAATGTCATATTATTGGATCCAAAATATATTTTTGGTAAAAATAATTTTTTTTTATTCTAGGGGAAAAACCCGATTTCATTTAAAATTTTTCAATAATAATCGATTATTTAATTTTAAATCTATTATATCGTATATATATACAAGGTGAGATGAAAAAACTGCAACAAAGTAAAACGCCATAATTTTTTCATTTTTTTTAAATTTTATTGAATGAAAGCAAAAAATGTCGGAAATAACATCAAATTTGAGAATCGGTTTAGATTTGTTCGAATTGGCCACCTTTGGCCCGAAAGTGGCTCTGCGGTATTTTGTCCCATTCTCGGCGAAGCGCTTGCTTGAGATGATCGACACTTTGGTATTTTTTAGTTCCAACCTTGCTTTCCAAAATACCCCAGGCACAATAGTCCAACGGATTGGCATCCGGAGATTTTGGTGGCCATTGTGCGGTGGAAATGAAGCGAGGAACCTCATTTCTTAACCATTCTTGGATGGCGCGTGCTGAGTGCGATGGTGCTGAGTCCTGTTGGAATGTCCAAGGTCTGCGGCCGAAATGTTTGCGTGCCCAGGGCTTCAGAACTCCCTCCAAAATATTTTCGCGATAGATTTGCGCATTTAATTTGACACCACGGTCGATGAATACGAGCGGCGAGCGACCATCGGCTGTTATGGCGGCCCACACCATCACCATGGCCGGCTTTTGAGTTGTGATGGCCAACCGAAGTTGCAAATTTTCAGCTGACCTCTCTGGCAAGTAAACACGATCATTTTGTTTGTTTACAAACTGCTGGATAACGAATGGTTTCTCATCGGAGAAAACCAAATTCGGCAGTTCACCACTTTCGGCCAAGCGAAACAACTCTTTAGCTTTTTCGAGTCTAACTTTTTTTTGCGCATCAGTAAGATCTTGCACTTTTTGGAACTTGAATGGCTTTAGTCCAAGCTCATTTTTCAATATTTGCCGAATGGCATATTGCGATATGTTCAGCTCACGAGCCATTTTTCGTCCACTGCGACGCGGATTTCGTTCAATTCGCTTTTTCACTTTTCGAACCATTTCTGCCGATGTTGCTGTTTTTTTTCGTCCACTTCCTTGACGTCGGGCTACGCTACCAGTATCATGGTAACGAGCGATGGTACGAGACACAAAACATTTATTCACTTCTAAATGCTGGAGGGCTCTAACGATAGCCACTTGTGGTTTTCCAGCCAAATGCAAAGCAATCACACTATCACGCTTGAATTCCATCACAAATAACTTTTTTTTTGAAAAATTCCCACCAAAATGCTTTTGTGCGCTTGTAAACAATATAATGAGCTGTCACTAGAATAAATCTGACAGCTGTGGGACGAGCGGTTTAGAAATGACAGCAGTCTGAAGTTGGTTGCAGTTTTTTCATCTCACCTTGTATATAT